AGGAGGGGTTCCCCTGGTCCTCCTTGTCTCATGAAGGAAGGAGGGGTCCCCTGGTCCTCTCTTGTCTCATGAAGGAAGGAGGGGTCCCCTGGTCCTCCTTGTCTCATGAAGGAAGGAGGGGTCCCCTGGTCCTCCTTGTCTCATGAAGGAAGGAGGGGTCCCCTGGTCCTCCTTGTGTCATAAATGGGGTGTTTGTCTTTCCAATGTTTCTCCCAACTTCTCTGCTCACTTGAGTAAATATTGACTTGGTTTCAGTTTTTAAAAAAACAAAGTTCTTAGCTGGGCGGTGGCCACACTTGCCTATAATCCCAGCACTTGGAAGGCAGAGACAGGCAGATCTCGAAGTTTGAAGCCACCCTGGTCTACGGAGTGAGTTCCAGGGCAACCTGGGTTACATAGAGAAACCCTGTCCAAAAAAAAAAAAAATACTGTTTGCCAAGACAAACAGTATTTTATTTTCAAACAGTTTTGCAGTGTATGCTGAATCCTTAAAAAAGAAAGTGTTTATTCAGAAAGATAGTGTCATTCTTGACACAGTCTGTGAGTCAAGCAAAATCACAGTTACTCCATACTCACCCCAAGATAGAAACTTTGAATTGCATAAAATAGTTCAGAAATGGTAAATTTGCTGGTCATCAGCTATGCTGGTTAAAGCTTATTTGCCAGGCATAGAAAAATCAACAGTTACTGTTGTAAAACCACTCAAGAACATTCTGGAGAGGAGCACTTCACAGGGGGCTGCTCTCCTCAGACTGTCGTCCTGGGTTCACTAGCAGCGACAGAATTTGATCTGATTTCTAAGAACATTTTCCACACGCCATGCTACTAAGAGGGAATGACCCTGGTGTAAGGTTTCTGTTTAGGGTGAACCTTACTAAAACTGCTAGCACATTAAGAGACAATGTCATAGCACAGGGAACACAGGAACCGGGTGGCTCTTGAAAGCAACCAACCATAAGAGAAAGACACCTTAGAATAGAGTGAGTACTGGTATGCCAGTCTCCGCCCTGCCCAGCTGGAGAGAGAACTGGAATCATGTCCATTTTGTAGTAGGAAATCACTGGTTTTAACATTTTCCTTGGAGTTTCATCTAAGTTTGACACTAGGACCTATTGTACAGGTCGAGCGCATTCTTTGCATGCTGGGCCCGATCTTCAATCCCCATCACCGCGAAGTTTGTCAATAATGACATCTGATTTTGGATGTCATTTTGAGCTGTATCTACGTCAGTCCTGTATTACCCTATTTAAAGGGAGAAGAGAAGGAATCCACTCTAGGGGAGAAGCCAGTGTGTCCCTTCGCTGAGCCCCAGCATCAAGTAGTAGAGCATGGTAGCATGTGTTGAGGCGCAGACCCTGCACAAGCATCTGTGTACAGAATCTTCTTTACATCTAGGGGCAGCCACCCACCACGCCTCAGCAGCTCACCGGGTCCAGGTGGATGCTGGTCGTTTGTTCAGCAAATGTTTTGCACTGTTGACACTGGGGTTTACCGAAGCATGGTTTTAGTGCAGGGAAGTTTGAACGTATAACAACTTTACAAACTTTTAAGAAGGTGACATAGTTGGTAGTACTTGCATATTTTTTCACCCTGTGAGTTAATTTGTCTTGGTAATTGTTGAAGTCAATTGCCATTCCATTCACACAAAGACTTGGTGTGGCAGTTTTCCATTGCCCACTCTAACGAGTTTGCTTTGTTGTCATTTTCGGCAGCTATCCATCGGAACAGCCCCCGCCCTGTGAAGGTGCCCCGATGCCACAGTGACCCTCCTAACCCTCACCTCATCATCCCAACTCCAGAAGGATTCAGGTATCCGGTGCTCCCGAGTCACAGACTCGTCTGCCCCCTCCGCGTGCTCCTGCTCTGCAGTCGTCTGGGTGCTTGCTCGGGAGTGCGGTGTTTGTCCTTCTGATGGCCACATGCCGCCTAAAGCTCTTCTCTGTGTTATCTTGAGGACACAGCACAGTGCCTCAGCTGCGAAGGAAGGCAGACCTGCCTCTTTAAGATAACTTAGCCTCCAGCTTCTTTATAACCCATCACCAAGTGCCTTCTGGCTTTGGAGTCCATCTTTTTCTTTCTTGGAAAAATAACCTTAGGAAAACATGTAAAGTATAGTGAACATATAACAGCAGCTCTGAGCCCTCTTTAAGAGTGGAGAAAGTTGGAGTGACCAGTCCACTCTAGACGTCTGCGAGTGTGTATAGTTGTGATTAGGTTGATGGTCCAGAAACACACCCAGGTTCGCACTGATGCTCTAGAATCGGCGTTTCTGTGACTGTGGGAGGGAGTGTCCTTTCTTCCCACTTCAGTGCCTTTGGCAGGCCGGTCTCCTGTGGTAGGGTTTTCTAGGTCAGGGCCTTTTTTTCCTCACACACATAGACCAGAACTCTCAAGTAGCAATGTGCATTTTATATTTTAAAGATTTTTTTTTTCATTTCCTATCTGTGTACTAGATACCAGTAACCCCCCCCCTTCTTACCTGTGTTCCTGAAGCCTTTCTTCTTACCTTAGCACCCGGAGCGTGCCTTCCGACACTCGGAACCATGGCAACTCTGTTGCTGCCGCTGCTGCTGCTGTCGCTGCCGCCACCACTGCTGCTGGCCGTCCTGGCCCAGGTGGTGGTGACTCTGCGTCTGCCAAACCTGTCAACACTGCCCCTGATACCAGGTAGTGCCAGTACACCAGCAGTGTGTCTCCCACCCATGGCCCCTCATGTCCTTCCAGGGGGTGCTCAGCATCAGGATGTGTCACAGGGTGACAACTGTGGGTGCTGGGGTCCCCTCTGGGTTGTCAGCACCTCCAGACCCTGGCAGCAGGCAGCAAAAGCAGAGCAGTTTCTGAAGGAAATGTTTCTTCTTCGGAGCCAGCATGAGCTAAAATGGCCCCTGGCTCTGCCCGTCTTCACCTTACTACACTGGAGGAAAGATCCTGGGGTGCACAAGGGGACCCGGGGCTGGGCCTGGCAGCCTTTTCCAGGTCAGAGCAAAGCAGTTCTTTCTTAATCTCAGCCAGTGTCCAAGCGAAGGGGCCCCACCAGTGTTCTTGTGCAGTAGGAAGGGCAGTTGTGGAGAGGCACCCAGAAGGAGCGGTGTCTGGGAGACGGCCAAATATAGTACCCAGGAGGAAGCAGTGTGGAAGCAGGCAGACTGTGTGGCCTTGCAGCTCAGACAACTGAGATGACGTCACACTGACACTAGTCCTTAACACCAGTCTAAGATTTCTGCAAACATTCCTAGTATTGCTACTTGTTAAAACGATTAATATTCCTAACTTTTAGTCATAAATGTCCATAACCTTAAAATTTTAAATTTAAGTGTAATCCATTAACAACAAAGTAAAATAAATATCAAAGCTCCCATTTCCTGCTTGTTTTTGGTATTGGAGAATTTCAATTTTATTGGCATAAATCTTAATATTGACTCTATCTCGCCATGGGGGGCCACCGAGACTTTTATTAGCATGTGTGCAGAGTCAAGGGAGGCGGCCAGCTTCCCAGCTGCTGCATCCATGTCGCTCAGGGTGCTCCACTGCTGGCCTGGAGACACCTGCCTCTGTAAGGCAGAGGAGCTGGTGCAGGCAGGACACATACATGTGTGGGCAGCCTTCCCATCCAACTTCACCTGCAGCATCTTACACTGCCATCAGTGGTGTCTGGTCATCTCTGTGGAGCCTTGTGGAGCTCTTGGTTGTCATTCAGGTCCACTTGACCCCCAGTGGCTTTTGCAGCAGCATAGTTTTGAAGTTTTTTATTTTTATATTTTTAATACATAGGAACAAAGTTTGTTTTTGAGATGAAGTGTTTGTGAACACGGAAATACTAACCAAAGTCCAACAAAGATATGTGTGAGTCCAAGATTCCTGTCTGCAGAAGAGGCCTGCCAGGCAGGTGCATTCTTGCTCAGGCCTGCTGTGTATCCCTGAGAACCCAATCATAGCACAGTATGGGCCTGAAAAGGGAGCCCTGCGCTGTGACAGTAGTGTCAGCCCACAACGTGCCCCCAGTGTTCAGTGATGTCTTAATTTTATTTTATTGACCTTGGAAATAGCTATTCTGGGCTGAAATTTTATCACCAGGATTCACTTGAAAACATTTTTCTTTTTCAGTGCTGGGCATGTCAGATCTGGCCAGCTTTCACTGTGGCTCAGGAGCTGCCTGTGGGTTTTCAACCCTGTTTCAAGCTGGTTGTTACTCCACAGAAACTGGCAACCTTTGTAATTCACCACAGACCCTTACATCCCATTCACAAATAGACCACTTCTTCAAGGGTGCCTCTTGCCTTTTACCTTTACAAAAATCTCTGAAAGTTTCAAAATTGACTTCAGGAAAGCAAGAAGGTAGAGATACCGAGTGACCCCTGTAGCCTCCCAGATATGGCCCTGCTTAGGAGTGGACTGTGTGTCCTTCCTTCTGTTAGTGGCCTGGCCCTCAAGTGCCACTAGAACTATTCCAAGGACCCACAAACAGCAGCTGTGGTGCCGACATCAGGTAGATACAGACTACCCCAGGCTGAGGGCTATAGCTGCAGTAACCAGGCTGCTCCGGGCCTGCTCACAGGGCCTGCTCACAGGCACCACACTTCTATACAGTTGCACACACACACCAGCATAGCCTTCAACAGCAAACCCGTTTTTGTGTGGTCTTTGGATACATGAACTGTAATCTAACATTTCCTGCTTAATCACAGCTTTGCCCTTGTGAGCTTATTCTCATTCTTACTGAACAGTTCACTGTAGAAGAACAGCTGACTAACTCTGTCTCTAACATGCTGAGCCTCTTGCTCTCCAGTTGCTTGGCTACTGCTTGAGAAACTGTTAGGCATTCCTTTCTTACTGCTAGAGATTTACAATCTTTTGAACCATGTAATGATTTTAGCACTCTTGTTATAATATAAATGTTTAAATATATGTTGGCAATATTTTAATATAATGTTGGCAACTTAAACATTACCTAATTTGTTTAATAAACCCTTATCCACACTAGGTTTAGACTGTGGAGCTTTTCTTATTTCTGTTATTAATGTAGAATGAACAAACTAGGGGGCTTCCTGTCAGTCCCCAGGAGAGACCCTATGTCAGTGGCAGCCCTGTTTATTTGGGTGATAGATTTTGTGGGGCTTGCCCATGTGTCCTCTGCCCACTAGGTGCCAGTTGCAAATGCTCCCTGACAGTACTGTCCTGTTAAGAATCAGGATTCTAGAAGAGCCTCACAGACCTTTATGCTACATTCACTTGATAGCTCAGCTGGGTTTGTTTTGTTTTGCTAATGTTAAAACAGGGGTTCCAGCGTCCCGGAAAACGACCGCTTGGCCTCCATAGCTGCAGAACTGCAGTTCAGGTCTCTGAGCCGGCACTCAAGCCCCACGGAAGAGCGAGACGGTGAGAGTCCCGCTGACACCATGCATCCTCCAGAGCGTTGGTATTCATGTCAGTCACCAGCCCTGACGTCCTTGGACACACAGGAATGGAGGGAGCCACCAGGCTTCAGGAGCCCGCCGACCTTGGCCGTTCAGCGTAGTCCTGCGTATTCTAAATCCTCTTCCTTGTGTCTTACAGAAATACCACTCTTGATATTCTAATTGTTGAGCACTCCTACTCACTTTAGAAATACAGAACTATTACTCAGATTGTTGCAATATGGTGACAGCCTCCCCCCCCAAAAAAAAACCTGCCTCTCAAATAGGGTTCCCCAGAATGCTGTTCTTGTGCAGTTCTGTTATCTGTTAATTATGGAAGGTTCAGATCTCTAACAGTGTCTTCATTAGCTGCCATTTTCTAGACATGAATAGACACACAAGCCTCAGCAGAGTCAGCAGTAAGAGCAGGTTGGCAGTGATGGTGCCATTCACCACCGCAGCAGGGTGTAGTTTTTCCATAAACCTTAATTTGTATGAAAACCACTTCCTGCAGAGCCAGCATATCCTCGAAGTGACTCAAGTGGATCAACACGGAGAAGCTGGGAACTTCGAACCCTCATCAGCCAGACCAAAGGTATGAGAGAGGAGCTGCACGTGGCAGTGTTCAGGCTCATTAGATGTCACCCATTAGCACCGTGACGTCACTGGTATCTCTGGCATCATGGTACCCACCATGGCCTTCCTGAGCACCTTCTGTTTCAGGCAGCGTACTCCAAGGGCCTTTGGGCGTGCTCACCCTTTAGTAGTGGCCATGGTCCCTTGATGGTGTCAGTACTTGTGAACGTAAGCATTCATCTTCATGCTCAGAAATTGGAGGAAGAACTTGGGCTGCTGGGAGGTGGTGATTAATACATTCCTGTGAGATCGTCCTGTCAGCTGAATTGAGGAGGCAATGGGGGCGGGGTTAGAGTTCCAGTACAGTGATTCCAGCAGGTGGATGTATTAGGTTAGCATTGGGCTTCAGAGCTGGGTTGCAGCAAGAAACAGCTTTGGTGAGGTAGTTGGCCAGTCCTGTGCAGATCTGTGTGTACTGAGGGAGAGACTTCTGGACCTAAGTCCAGAAACTGAGAACCAGTCTCTGCGTTAGTCCGCCTATAACTGTGGTTACCCTGGACATAGTGGTGGCCCTGAGTCTGCCCTCCTTTTGAAAACAAACACCTGGTGGTTAGGTAAAATTGGGAACCACCAGGACTGTGTCCCTCTCAGAAAAGCTGCAATTCTCAGTGGCATATTAAAGTCCAAGTCTTCTGGAGAAAGGCTCATTAGTTTATAATTAAGACATCTTTTCACAGCTATTTTGACACTGGGGCCTACAGCCTCAGCTGTAAAAAACGTGTCCAGGCAAACCTAGTGTATCAGGTATTTGGGGGGGAAAAAAAACAAAATGAAAAAACTAGATTTCCTTTCCAGGATTAAAAAAACCGATTGATAGCAAAATAAGCTAATTAAAACGTAAATCTTAGCTGGGCGGTGGTGGCACACGCCTTTAATCCCAGCACTTGGGAGGCAGAGGCAGGTGGATTTCTGAGTTCAAGGCCAGTCTGGTCTACAGAGTGAGTTCCAGGACAGCCAGAGATACACAGAGAAACCCTGTCTCGAAAAAAAACAAAAAACAAAACAAACAAACAAACAAACAAACACCATAAATCTTTGGAAATGTCACTTTTTGAATGAACCTTACAGCCATCCAGATCTTCAGAGATCTGTTTGTCTCCTGGACAGACCTGAAGCTCTCAGGTAGCTACATCATGGGTTATACATAACCCATTAGTGGCTGATAAGTATGAATGTGACCAGCCTTAGTGTCCACAAGCCGAGGCTGTGATAAATGTCACACACGTGCATGTGCACTCATACACACATAACATGGAGCGCCATGCGCTGGCTAAGGAGAAGGAAATTACGTCATGTGAGGAACATGGATAGAGGTCACCTGTTGCTGTGTCGTCTTGGAAACCAACTTCCCTACATGATGGGACTGATGATTTCCTGTCTTTCTGCAGACTCGGCCTCTAAGCAGGGGCCCATAGAAGCTATCCAGAAGTCAGTGCGACTGTTTGAAGAGAGGAGATACCGAGAGATGAGGAGAAAGAATATCATCGGTCAAGTGTGCGACACCCCTAAGTCCTATGATAATGTCATGCATGTTGGACTGAGGAAGGTGACATTTAAGTGGCAAAGAGGAAACAAAATCGGTGAGGACGTCAAGGGGTTATTGTGCCAGAAGTGACACTCGTCCTAGTGTTTGTCATGTAATTCTTTGTACACATTTACAATACAAAATGAAAGTTGAGAAAAGACTTTTAGATAGTTTAATGCATTGAATTCAATAATTCTAGAAGTTTCCATTTGAGAACTACTGAACTTTGGCCCTCTTCATCTGTGTTCTTTTATCCCCATGAGAATATTATTTGAGAAGAGACTAGATATAAATCAGGACAGGAGAGTCTCTCCCTTACTCCCCCCACCCAATAATTTTGTAGTTAACTGATTACTAAGTGAAATTACTCTTAACAGAATAACTAGTGGTAGAGTATCATATCCCAGACTCTACATGCACTTAAACACATCTATCTGTCAAGCATTAAGTTTGAGAGGCAAGCATAGTTGTGAGAACTTTGTGAGCCCTAGAAAACTGGAGACTCCTAGTGCTACCTTAGTGCAGTCAAAAACCCTGTAAGACATCTTAACTGTCGTTCTTGATCTCCTTCTGTCATATGTCCTTGGTTTAGGGTCCCAGAAGCAGTGTTGGAAGCTTCTCCTCACACTTGAGGTCCTGTAGCAATGTGGCTAGAGAGGATCCAGACATGCTATTGGCCACTCCATTCTGCCCCAGTCCCAGCCCAGACCCCTTGAGGGGAACAGCACACTGCTTACCTATCTTCATAGCTCTCTGCGGTTTCCCAAAGCACATTTCTGTGTCACCGTGACATTTACAGATAGGACGTGTACATTGATACAATTGCCCAGAAGTTTGGCTAGCAGGAAACACTAAGGTCTTAAGTAGCAAGCTAGAGTGAGCATAATGATACCTGTATAAACGTAGTCCAGTTAGAGTTGTTGTCAGCTGCCCTGACTGCTGTCTGTAGTGACTGGAAGAGTGGCCTGTTTGTGTTGTCCACAGGAGAAGGACAGTATGGGAAAGTGTACACCTGCATCAGCGTCGACACCGGGGAGCTGATGGCCATGAAGGAGGTGAGTGGTGCTTCTCCAGGCCTTCCTGTGGATAAGTCTGGGTGATCAGGTTCAAAAGCCACTCCAGTTATGACCCTTGTGCAGACAGCCTGCCTCAGGACTCTGAGTTACTGGGCCTGAGGCCTGCGTTTGAGCATTTGACAGTTGGGGTTGATGACTCCATAAGGGCTTCAGGAGAGCAGGATCTCAGGTGATTCCAGTGCTAAGCAGGTGGGCACGCCTGTGGAGGTAGCTGGGGAAAGTGAGGAAGGCTTAGGAAATGGAGCCACCATTCACACCCTGTGGGCACGTGTGAGCAGAAGGCAGGGAGATTCCGAAGTGAGGATGGGCAAGCGCAGGGGAAGCTGAGAAACTCACTGGAGGCCTCCCAGCTGTGTGAGGACTGAGGGTGATGGGGCGGGTTATGGCGGCCTTGCCAAGCTACTAAGAGGCTTTAATTTTTACCAAATATATCATCACCCTCCTTTGTTTTAACTTTTACAAATTTTAACTGACAAAATATAAAATTTTGATTGACAATATAATTATATATTATGGCTTAGAAAATGTGTTGAGTATGTAGACACTGGTGCAATTGAATCAAGCCAGTTTACCGCCTCATGTTTTGATAACTGCAGAGTTACTCTTTAGGCTGTGAGTACCATGACTGCCCATAGGCACATTGATCTGGAGGCCAAAAGTAGGCGCACGAGCTGTTGGGTAGAGTCAGAGCTGCACAGTCACTGACCTGACCTGTAGAGCCCAGCAGCAGCCGTTCATGGCCTGTCGGGTAGGGTCACTCAGATCCCTCCATGTTGTCCTCTAACTGTAAGACCAACTGTGAGAGGAAACCAAGTCAAGGAAAGCCTTAGAGGTGCTGCCCCGGTCCTAGGGCCTACGAACTGACCCATCAGGAGACAGCTTCACGACACAGACAGTATCTGTCGTCATCATAATTGTCCTTTTCCAGATTCGATTTCAGCCTAACGACCATAAGACTATCAAGGAAACTGCAGACGAGTTGAAAATATTTGAAGGCATCAAGCACCCCAACCTGGTCCGGTACTTTGGCGTGGAGCTTCACAGGGTAAGCAGCTCGCACCACAGGGAGCAGTCAGCGGGGCAGAGCAGCCTGGTCCGCATCCCAGGTCTTCCCACTGCAGAGCACAGTAACTGCCTTCTTTCTGAAACTGGCTTTTTTCCTGAAATTAAGTTGCAGACTATAGGAGTGAGTGAGCCCAGTATCCATCCTGGCAGGCAGACTTCCCATGTACTCATCCTGCCACTCAGCCACTTGCCGCTCTGAGATGCTCATTCTTCTCTCTGATATTAGTCGGCCTTCATGGAATAGGAAGAAAGCTAAGAGCACTCTGTACTGAGCAATGGGGCAGGGAACGGGCCACTCACAGTGTGCTGCCGAGGGGAGCTGCCAGGGCTCAATCGTCATTGCTTTCACTAACGGATTTGTGATTGACAGGGATGTGTTTCAGTACTTGATAACACCTGCAGGCATGGCTGTCACTCCCTGTCTAAGGTTGCATGGCGGGTAGTCTCAGAATGGATACGAGTTACCTCTGTGATTCTCAGATCTGACCAAACGAGCTGTACCATCCCAGACAGGAGGCAGGCAGCCCCTCTGAGGAGAGTCAGGCACCGCTGTACCACTCCCTCAGCACTCAGGGTGGCAGCCACAACCCAGCAGGAGGAAGATGATTCCTCTGAGAGGGCCCTGGGGTTTGCAGTGTTCATGCCATGTTCATGCCGTTCGTGGAAAGCCAGTCAAAGTGTAGGTGTTGTGTTGCTTCTGCAGGAAGAAATGTACATCTTCATGGAGTACTGTGACGAGGGCACACTAGAGGAGGTGTCAAGGCTGGGCCTTCAGGAGCACGTCATCAGGTTGTATTCCAAGCAGATCACCGTCGCCATCAACGTCCTCCATGAGCACGGCATCGTTCACCGAGACATCAAAGGTACACCTTACAGACAGTCTCCTGCTGTCCAGCCTATAGCGGGGTCAGTCATGGGTGCTCCCATGCCGCCTGTTACTTCTTCAGGTGGATGTGCCTTCACATCTGTTGCTACTTCTTCAGGTGGCTGTGCCTTCACACCTGTTGCTACT